CCCAGATCCTTTCTACATCAGTTTTATGCATAGATACTTATTTTATTTATTTGTTTATTTATTTATTATTTCAATTTATAACCCACGTTACCGGAAAAACTGGCTCATCTACTTATGCACATCTATCCTGGAATGTGCAATTAAGAGAGAATTCTGAGGATGGGAGAGCATTCTAGGGTGAACATCCAGATTATGTGCTGGTCAGGCTGTGTTGACCTCCATGTAACAGAGAGTAGGGGACAACAGGACAACAATTCAGGCAAATTTTCTTTCAAAGGAATGTATCTTTGATCTTTTCATTGGGGAATACCTGATAGGTTTCTATGGAATACCATGATTTCCAGTTTTGAAAATCATTTTAACTTCCCACAATGCACTGGGAAAAGACCCAGGAGTGGCAGGTTGTGGTATGCACCACAATGAACGATATTGCTGTATTGATGTTCAGATCTGCTAAGGGAAATGTCTAGTTGTATACCTAGTCATCTCACCCTGAGTAAGTGTTTCTAAGGTAATGAGATACTATAGTTGTTCAGACAGAACGTTTGTGAGAGGTCTGTGTTTTCAGAGAAGTGTAAGAATTTCAGTGTTCAGTAGTTTATGTGAAGATCTGCCCCATAGTCTATAGTAAAAACACTGGAACAGAAATATTATGTACATAGAAACTGCTATGTGTCAGGACCCACAGTCAATCAACGGAGCACCCGCTTCTTTGAAGGTTATACATTATTGCTAGTACTATGGTTGCAGAAACATAATCACTATTAGGAATAACTACTACACAGAAAGCAGAGAGAGATATAGGGTATTCAAATGTACCCCCCACTTATGGGCCAATCGGCCTGACTCCTGCGGGCGGGAAGGAGGACCAGGGCAGTTAGAGCCGAGGCTGGGAAACGAAACTAGTCACACGGTTAATTGATGGGAAGACACTACACAGGCAGGCTACAAGGTCAGTGATAATGAGGGGGGAAGCGAAAAGAAAGGAATGCGGCAGCAACTGGCACACAGGTCATGAAAGCGAACCCGGGCCCATAAACCATATGGCAGCATAGCTGACACTATGCATTGAGCCCAAATGCTTTGCAGGACTATGGTGCCCTCTTGTGTAAAAGCTTTCATTTTATCACAGTTCTACATTCCTTTGGGAATTAGAATATTGAATCCCATAAGTTTATCATTGACATTTGGTGTAGTGGTTTGGTTTAGTGGTTGAGTGCACGGACTCTAATCTGGGAGAACCGGGTTTGATTCCCTACTCCTCCACTTGCACCTGCTGGATGACCTTGGGCAAGCCGTAGCTCTGATAAGAGCTGTTCTTGAAAAAGAGCAGTTTCTGTCAGAGCTCTCTCAGCCCCTCCTACCTCACAGGGTGTCTGTTGTGGGGAGGGGGAGGGAAAGGAGTTTGTAAGCTGCTCTGAGACTCCTTTGGGTAGTGAAGGGTGGGGTATAAATCCAATCTCTTCTTCTCTTCTTCTTCTAATGAATCCCTAAAAATTATTCACTCATTCATAAAATCTTTATACCATCCTTTTCCAGGCAGCTTAGAATCCAAGATAAAACAATATCAGACAAAATCCACATGAATTAAGATAATTTTTAAAAACAGCCAGTGAAAGCCAGTGTGGTGTAGTAGTCAAAGTGAGGGAATAGGATCTGAGAGATCAGGGTTCAAATCCCCAGTCTGCCTGGGTGACTTTGGATTCTCTCTCTTAGCCTCGACTACCTTACAGGGCTATTGTGAGAATAAAGTGAGGAAGGAAGAATTGTGTACACCATTCAGAGCTCTTATAGGAAGAGTGAGTAAAAATTATTAGATAAAGAAACAATACAACATTGTAACATAAGAGTACCAGTAAAAATGGACAGGCAGCAAAAAGAGAAATAGAACTTACAAGAGTGGACCCGCAACAAAATGTTGCTTGTCTCTTCCCGCCCCTCCCCTCCATTGCGAGCCCCGGTGGCTGCAGCCGCGGGGCCTCGCTCGTCTCCTC